TCTATATAATAATTTCACACACAAACACAAATTGAGATGAGTAGTTGAAGTGTTTCTTAATTAAAACTGTGCAGGTGTTCTCATTCAGCTTAATTACAGGACTAATAATATCATGGCAATAGAATGATAGTGGGATAAACCTGTTGATAATGCTAATTAATCATTATGCTTCCTATAGCTTGACGCTGGATAATGCATGCATGTTTGAACTACTTCTAATTAGAACAGCTAGTAGAAAAGTTTGTCTTTTGTCATAAATATAAGACATCAATCCACTTTATCTTTTAAATTTATAATTTTTTTCCTAAACACTTTGCACATATTGGTTATTGCATATATTAAGAGGGTTTTCCACCAAAGACGTAATTTTCAATGCAAATTATTAAAACTGATACTAGCAAAACTGACTTTTTTTTCTTTTCACAAACTACTAATTTAACTAATTTTTTAATCTCCATAATTAGTTATTTACCTCATATATTTAGAATCAGAGGATGTAAGTTGCAACAGCATCTACATATGTTGAGGCAAAGCTTTCATGAATTATAAGAGGCAATTAATTAATCTCTAAATCAAATATTTACAAAGGATTTCATGTGGACTGCCATAAATCATGCTGTGAACGTGTAATCTTTTGAAGTATATGCTATCGTTTCTTAATAAAATAGCGTTATATATCTTGTGGCTTTGGGGGAAAAGCATATACTTTGCTTCAAGTTTAGGTATGAAATAAAATCCATTATTAATTGATGATTCTCCCATAAAAAGGAAAAGGGGGTGAATAATAACTAGATTTTTTTAATAAATTAGGACAGAAATGAGTACAACATATCCAAATTAAAATCATGATAAACCACTATGACCAACTAAACTAAGTTAAGTAACATCACCATCTTTTAGTATAATATAAAGAACTGGAAAAGTATTGATAACTGGAAAAGTCATTCGGAAAAAATAAAGCATGAATTTTGACTGCATTATTATTCCCATATATCTTTGAAAGTCCCCAGTTTGACTGCAAGTTCAAATCGGTTTATAAGCATTTTTTAAGTTGACTTGAGCATATCAATTACTATTTTCTTTATCTTCTAGGTAAGATTAGGGAGTAATTAAAAGTAAAATCACCAAATAGAATCAGGCTTAATCTTTGACTGGCCATTTATAGTACCGCTTCAATGTAATCTTGCTGTAAAATGAGCCATGTGTCAGCTAGCATTATTCATAGGGTAATTCTTTTGGTGTTGGGTTGGGTATTAAAAGTTTCCATTATACTCCGTCATTTTCTTTGTACTGGTCACTTTCTTTTCTATAAAATTGTTTCTATTTATATATCATTTTATAAGTTCAAGGCAACAATAATGCTGTTTTTCCACTTATATTCTTACCTATGATTGAGCGCAATTCTCAGCCAAAGAATTACCTAGCTAGCTAACAACATTTAGTAAGGGCATACTAATTAGGAGAGTTAGAAGAAATTTCAACATACTAAATATTTTTTTTTTAATTTATGTGTAGAATCCTAGAACGATAGATAAAAAAGAAAAGGAAGAAGTATATAAAAAAAGAGGGACTATATATATTTAGGTGCTTGTGATTTTGCACCTGTATTAATTGACATATAACTTCACAGCATTTTAGATATATATTGTTTCTATAATGAATTGACTTGGTATCTCAAACCTATTGAGTTTAGGGGAGCTATATATTAATTGTCGTAACTGACATGAGCTTCAAATAATTAGTTGGTTATAATTAATTAATCTTGAGTTTATGTAGGAAAGAAAACATTATCTAATTAAATCAACTTATGTCATGTTTGGTATGAATGAAATGAATTTAAAAGAGAGAGATCGAGTTTTTTTTTTTTTTTATCTTGATAGGGTTGTTGCATACCATCTAAGTTACAAAAAAATTGATGCTTAACTCCCTCATATATATAAGGGCTTAGGCATTCCTCACATCGGTTAAGGAAATGTGTTTTAATTTCTATTAAAAAAATAATTATTTTGTCTCAAGTTATAAAATATTTTAACTTTTTATCCTTTCTTAATTCATTTTTTTCCACGTTTTAAAAAGTAAGTAATATTTTAAAAATGTCATTTCTGTTGGATTGGGACCATTGAAAATTTTATTGATGAAAATGATCTAAATCAAGTACCAGTACTTATTAATGTATATAAAATTTGTAAAATACTGATGCTTTCTATATGTTAAAACTTACGAAGTCATTTTCACTAATAAAATTTTTAGTGGGAGATTCTTTTCCAACTTTCCCTTTCTCTTATAGATATCAATATTAAAATAATTAATATTCATGATTAAGTATTATAAATGAGGGTATTCATGTCATGTGGCCTTTGTCCTCTCCCTCCCTCTCTCTCTCTTCTGAAGTCAATATAGAGAGAACGAAGAAAAAGAACGAATTATGCACCTACCAATGCCAAACACACTTTTTAGCTTAGAAATAGTAACCTTTTTGCACATCTTTCCCTTTCCATTTTCTTAAGAAATATTCCGTCACCTTGGAGCTCGAAGTCTACATGTCCAATCGTCTAGAGCACTTCTTCTATGGTGAAACCCCTCCGTACTTTTGAAAATGGAAAGGGAAAGATACTTCTCTCTTTTATTTTATCTTTGTTCTTTCTACTCGGACGGGAAATAATAATCTATTATAAAGACGATTCAAACACACACACACACACACACACACACACACACACATTATATTTATATATTCATAGAAAATAATTTTAAACAAATTTCATAGGGAGAATTGTAATAAAATATCAAGGAAGGAACATATTCAAAAAAAAATCCCCATAACAACTAAGCAACTTGTATTGACAAGTTCTAAAATAGAAAATAATAACAGGTTTCAACTACTTACTTGTCATTAAGATTTTAAGTAATTATTTTTCTTCTTCAAAGGTTCACGGTAATTTTCCCACTTCTATAATATACATCGCTTCTAAAAGAACGAATTGGTTCAAAATATGACTCACTTAGTGAGTGATTAATGCTATATGATAGCAGCCAATTTTTTCAATTCAATAGTTTGATCTTTGCTATGATTTACTACCTCCGGTCCGAATTATAAGAGCTAGTTGACTAATTTAAGGAAATTAAGAAAATAAATTAAGTTAGTTATTTGTCATAAATAGGTGTTGTCTTTCCTAAAATATCCTTATTAATCAAATGTATTGGCTAGAATTATCATTATTAAAAGGACTACCTTAGGAATAAATGCATAGATATAAGAGACAAAGTACATTGGGGTCTTATATTTAGGATCAAAATAAAAATCAAACAAGGTCTTATATTAAAGACTGGATGTAGTATCATTCATTGGCGTTGATAAGATCCTTTCATTTAGTAGCACCTTAAAGTGGCATAGCCTTTAAGAACAAGGTTCAAGCGAGAAAAGATTTATGATGAATACCTAGGCACCCACAGATGAGAAATGGTGTAGTAAGTGATGAAATGTTTTGGGGAGTTGAAAATAAGCCTAGATCTGGAGATTCCCAAATAGTTCAACCTTTTGAACTTTTGCTAAATCCATGGACATGCAAGGGACAACATGATGAATTGAAACATCCTGGCAGCCTAAACTGTGAAAATAGGATTGTGAGAGAGCATACAAGTATCGTGTTGCTAGGTGAAGCGGTGGAGTGCTGCACCATAGATGGCTAGAGTCCAGCAGCTAAAAGTCTGTCAATTTTATCCATTTAATTAATGCTTCAATGTATTCTGTTTCTCTCTCTTTCACAACCTCACTCAATATGAATAAAGTTGAAAAAAATAAATAAATTTGGATAGCTTGGAAAAATTAGTTTGCCAGTCCTGATATAATATTACCAATTTTCGAATCAGGTCCTATGATTTTTTTTTCTTTTTATTGAGTCATCATTGTAATTTTAGTTTTGAGGAGAGTGCTTCCGTGATCACACTGTTACTTTAGGCTTACGTGGCTCCTTTTTTTTGCTTGACTTCTCCCCCACTCCTCTACCCAGTCTGCTGATCACTATCCCCCCTCCCCCCACCGCAAAATAATCATAATCTTTTCACCCAAAAAAAAAAAAAATTATCATCTTCTTGCCCGCCTTTCCATACCTTTATTTCCTTAATTTACCCATGATGTTGGATTTCTCCTCACGTACTTTTCATTATGCCCAACTCCCCAACTCTAACCTTGGCATTAGTAATATTTATGGGTGGTTTGGTAAACCCCCAAAATACTTAAAAAAATTATTTTCATATAAATTGATATAAAATTTTTTTTATATATTTATTTTATATACTATAAAATTATTTTTAAAACTATAGTTTAGTTGACCAAACACCCCCTTAACTCCGAAAACAACAAATTGGGCATACATATTCGGTTTCAAAATGTTACATCGGAAGTTTCTTTTCATTAATAAATGTTCATAAGCTCTTGACTCAAGTTCACGAATGCATAAAGGAGCGATGAAGAAATTGTTGTTCTCGAAAGAGTTTGTCATGGCGGTGAAGGTGTAGAGGGAAAGGAAGAAGAGAGAGTGACAAGAGGAGAAAGAAGGAGATTGTGGCAGGCGTCGGTGAGAAAGGAGTACGGAGAGAGAGAGAATATTGATGGGCCGGTCGCAGGAGTGAGGGAGAAGTTGACCAAGAAGACGTACCACATAGGCTTAAACTAACATTGTTATCACGGAAGGCCTCTCATCAAAACTAAATATACAATAAGAACTTAATTAAAAAGAAAAAAAAAATTATAAGAACCTGATCGAAAATTTGATAAAACTGTAATGACTGACAATTTCTCAGAATAGGTTCGATGAGTTAACTATAATATTGATGAATTAGTTAAAATGACTTCTATTGGGGACTAAACGGACTAAACTCTTATCTTTACCCTTGAATAGATCTAGTTAAAACTGATAGAATTAAATTTTCAAGAGGCTGAAAACAATTCTGTTTAAAATACTATCCAATATTAAATATGGACACATCTCTCAACAAGATTCAAGATCAAGAGTTTGTATGATCTTATAAATGAATTTTTTTTATAAAAAAAAACCATATTGATCAAAGCTGTGGAACAAGGACTTGTATAATCTGCTGGCGTGTTTATATATATATATATATATATATATATAAGTATATTCCTAGACTGATCTCCTAGCAAGTATACAACTGACCAGTATGAAATCTGTAGTATCAATATCAATTAGTGGGGATGGTGGAATTGAGCTGAAAGGCCTGAATGAGGTGAGAATCAGGCATATTCAGAGGAGGCAAAGAGAAGGCACTCTGAGTGGAGCTTCCTGCTCTGATCTCCTGGATGGTCAGCAGAGCTGCCACGGTGTTCCTGAAGATGCCTTCTCCGGCGACCGTAATGGCATCTCTCGCTTCTCTGGCCCTCTCTGCCAGTTCTTCCTCCGCCGCCGGGAACACCACGTCCATCATTCCCTCACATTTCTTGACCAGTTTGGAGATTTGATCCGTGGCGTAGAAGGGTTGCTCCAGTACTTTCTGTATGAATGGTAGCCTCAACAACCCACCTGTCCTCTTGTCGTATTTCTTCAGTATTTTTGCCAATCCTTCAAACAGAACAAACACGCCCATTACTTTATTCCGGGCTTAACCACAAGGCCTAATAAATCTTCACGATAATCAAGGCCCTCACGTTCTTTGTTTGGGTGCAGGCCATCTTTTTTTTAAAAAAAAAAAAAGCCCAATAAAAAGTGAGCAAGAAAATTCCATTTGTATGGGACCTGGGTCCACACCTCTTTAAGATGGTTACTAACAAATCCCCAATGAATTTTAAGCTAAATAAGTGAAAGAGCCAAAAAATAGTTAACTTAATTATTAATAATAAATATTAGTTTTTTAAAAGTATACTTCTTAATCATTTGCGTTAGATTTTTTCTTTTAAAAAAAAAACCCTTTGATATATGCATTCAATAGGAAGAATTTAAATTTAAGAGACAAAAATAAACTGAGAATTTATATTTAAAACTAAAATAAACTTACAATTAACTCTTATATTAAAAAAACATGCGCCTCTTGACTCTTCAAAATTTATATAAAAAAAAGGTAAGAAAACCACACAAAAAAGACTGTGGAATTCGAAAAATTACGCACAGGGACTGATTCACAAAAATTGTTATCAAAACTTATACTAATATTGTCATGGATCCCAATTTGTATTTTTTTTTAATTCGATGGTTTTTTTTTGTGATTTTCCCAAAAAGGATTAATAAAAATAATTAAACAACTACAAATTATGAACATACTTCCAAAATTTCGGGAGCAAAGAAATAATTCTTTATGCCATATTTTTAACACAAAATCAAGGAATATCATATAAAAAAATAATTAAATCACATCCGAGCTCAGAAAATTTCTACACCTGAAAACGTATTATGTAAGTTAAATTAAATTTTAAAAAAAAAACAAAAGAAAGAGTCTAGACCAATCAAACTAAATAAATATAAATATTCCTTTAAAAAAAACAGAGAAAAGAATAAGCCAGTGTTGTTAAAATCCGAACACAAACTTGACAAGTTGCATGAACCTGAATTCAAGTCCACGAGCTCAAATATTCTATTTTTATCCACACCTACTTTAAATTAAACATATTCTTTTTCTCTCTTTTTTTGGGAAAAAAATGATTTTCCGTTGTTAGCACTCAAACAAGATTAGTCACAACAAAAGCATGCTCCTAATAAGAAAAAGAGGAAGAAAAGTAGTGGATACCAGTGTAATTGATGCTACTGTAATTAACTAACAGGACCATCTCGCCATGGAAATCAACCATATCTTTTCTGATCTTCGCTATCTCCTCTCTGTAGTTCGCTTCTGAAGCCTCACTTCCATTTGGTCCCCATCTCTCTCTCACTTCCTTCATCTTCTCTTCCAACGCCTGCAAAATTCCTCAGAATCATGATTACAACTATTAACCAATCAAATTATTCATCAGCATCAAATTCAGAATTCGATTTAGCAACATATATACCTCGTGCCGGATCACGAAATCCTCCTCCTGCTCCATGAAGAAGTTGTTGAACTTGTCGATCTCGTTGTTCAACAGATACACAAACTCAGCCTCCGCCTTCCCATACTCCCTCTCTCCGTCCGGCAACGGCGGCGCCTCCGATATCAGCCGCACCAGCTTCTTCAACTCCTTGTACGACAGGAAATTGTCGCGCCATTCCGGCAGCGACTCCATAATCTGTTTCTTCAGTCGCTTCCCGAACTTCATTCCCGACAGATCTCAACTCTCAAAAAGAAAAACCAAAAACAGGAAAACAAAAAATCTGCGAGAAATTGAATCGCAGAAACAAAAACGACAGAGAAAATCGAATCGAAAGGAAGAGCAAAAATATCTGAGTGACGAGGAAGATGAGAAGGTAGAAAGGGAGTGAGCGGTTTTTTATAATGGGGGAATCGGTAGAATATTAAAGGGGATATGCTTGGCGTGAGGAAGTGGGGTTTCTAGGGGGGGAAAAAGGGCAAAAATGAGTCGCCGAAGCTAGAAGGGAGAGGCATAGAGAATTTGGGAGAAGGCATATTCGGTGATTAATGGCATTTAATTAAAAATGGGTCACAGTTAAGACTAAATAAAAGGATTAGTTTTGATAACGAACGGAGGCTACTATGTGGCTCAGTGTAGTTGCTTGCGGAAGAACTAGGTGGCACCCTCTCTGCCTACCCCTTGCTTACACAGCACCAACTTTTCATTGGTTGCATTTCTCCACTTTAGTCCTGTCTTTCATTAAAAAAAATCATGTCCAAATTTGAAATTTCACCTGTTCAACAGTTCAACAACAGTGCTTCTAGACAAGTTATATATATACTACCTAATCCTTAATATAAAAGAGATCTCATTTAACTTTTATTTTGACCCTAAATATAATACTCCAATCCATTTTATCTCTCATATTTATTTATTTTTTTTCAAAGTAGTCATTTTCATAATACTCCTCCGGTCCTTAATATAGGACCCAATTCTTGAGTTAGTTTTGGTCCTAAATATAAGACTCATTCCTCATATTTATCAATTTTCTCTAAATTACCCCTATGGATATTCCTTCAACCATAATTAAGTATAAGAGAGAGGAGGGGTATTAAGAAAGATGGCTATGGTATTTTAGGAAAAATGTGTCACTTTTCTTATAATTAACTAACTTACCTAACTTCCTTAATCTAATCAAATTAGTTAAATGGGTCTTATATTAAGGACCGGAGGAGTAATAGTTTTAACCAACAAATATGATTGGCAAAGATATTTTAGAAAAGACAACACATATTTATTACAAATAACTAACTTGACTTATTTCCTTAATCTATTCAAATTAGTTAACTAGCTCTTATATATAGGACCGGAAGTAGTATATATGAAGGGGAAATTTTCAACAAAAAAAAAATCTCTGTTGCAAAATTTGTTATCCAATGGCACATAGAATTGTTTAAGAACTCAAGTTTATGCATATGCAACTTATATTCAACCATGTGAAAATAAAAAATACTGCATATAACTAATTTGGATTAAAGTGTATCTAGTATCTTGAAATATTTTTTTGGGTGCATTCAGCACCCTAGAGTATTTGTGGTACATCTAACACTATGAAATATTTTTTTAGGTGCATCCAGTACGATAAAATATTTTTTTGTGCACTCAGCACCTTAAAGTATTTTTTTTAGATGCGACTAGCATCCAAAAATAGTTGTTTTGGTACATCCAGCACTAAGACAAAAAAAAAATTTCGCAATTTTTTTTATGAAATTTATGATAAATTATATGACCTCTCTTAACCAAGGGAAAAATTATTTTGATAGAGCTATTTTCAATTGGATGCAATAATGCGTCAAGATGATTATGTAAACTCAATAATGCGTCAAGATGATTAGGTAAACTCAAATAGTTATCCAAGTTAACTCTATGTAAACTCAATAATGCGCCAAGATGATTATGTAAACTCAATAATGCGTCACGATGATTAGGTAAACTCAAATAGTTATCTAAGTTAACACTATGGTTGGGTTAAATGAAAAAGACTCAATTGTTAGATTTTTAAAAAAAAAACCACATTAAAAAAGCTGATGCAATTGGCAAAAGAAAAAAGAAATAATGAAAGAAAAATACTATTACTAGTAGATTTATATAGTAGGGCTCATTTCTTAAATTTTATGGATAAAGCTCACGTCTAGTTTAATTCTGAAAAAAATTGAGGAAAAATTTTTCATTAAAAATTTTACCAGCTTGAAGGATCTAAATTTTATGTGTACAAAATTTTCAGAGTACCGGTGTTTCTTACATATAAAAATTTATTAAATATTCCTTATTAATAAAATTTTTAAAGGGGACTTTTTTTTTCAGTTTTTCCTTTATTTTTGATATAGAATTGATAATAAAATGATGAGATTGATAAGACATCAATATAATTCATTTTTTGCCCGAATAAAATTCATTTAAAAAAAGGTACAAAACACAAGACCTGTTCCGCCATTCAACATATTATGAATTATTAATGTTATCAGAATCAAATCACCACCGACCTCAGCCACAGCTTTTCGCTCTTCAAGCACATTAAAAATTCAGTCAAACAACCAATAATAAAATTTATCATAAATAATACTCTCAATTAAGAATAAATTAAAACTAGTTTCCATTTTTCCGCCACATACATAATTAAAAATATTAATAAAATTTGAGCCAGTATTTCTCACAATTTCATAATGCTTCCAGTAACAGTACTAATCATTAGTTGGAGTAATATCAAACTATATATTTTATAATGTTTAAAAGTTTCGACCTCATTATATTTCTAAAATTATTTTAGATGACTAAAGATAAAAACGGACTCACTAAATCATGAAAACAGGCTCACTAAAATGGTGTCCTATTGGATTGTGATGGGGAGATTGGAGATTTAGTTATCATGCGGGAAGAGGTTGAAGTGGGGAAGAAGAGGATGATTCCTAGGAATCTACAAAGAATCTTCCATGGAAATGGAAGATGACACATTGTATTCTCATTTTAGATTTTCATTTTTGATGAATAATATATGTTACTAAAAAATTATAAAATTTGATCAAAGCGTAACATATCTTTTATTTTAAGTAATGTATGATTCTTTATGTATCTTATAAAAAATAAAAATGGAATTTTGTAATTTTAATAGAATTTAAAAATATGTAAGATACTATATTATTAAAATAATCATACTTTTTGTCCACCGTTAAAATACTAATGAAGTTGCTAACAATAATTAAATAAGCGGAAGGAATTTGTTTATTAAAAATAAGTTCAAAACTTTAAATCTTGAGTGTAGAAAAATTACGTTTAAAAAGTTATATGCTAATGAAATATAACAATATTTAAATCTAACTTGATATTATTCAATACAAGACGGTAACATTAAAAAGAAAGGAGAGTAAGATATGGGTCATAAAAAGGTATATTAATGATAATTATGTTCTTCATAATTTTTTTTAAAAAAATGAGTTGAAAATATTGGTTTAAATACCTATAAATTCAGGAATTTCAATTTTAAATAAGGCATTGTAATTGAGATTTCTATTTATCAGTGAATCGTTATTTACAACTAATTTCGTAGAATTCCTTTTTTGAACAACCTAACCGTCACTAATTCATTCTTTTAGTAGTTAAATATCATCTCTCATTAAAAAAATAGTAACAAAGTTTTTTTTTGTTATGCACATGTATCTTTTTATTGAAAGTAATCCTATACGAGATATTATCATATAATAAATGTGAGTGCTTCTCTCAGTAGGAACTTGAACATTAATTAGTTATGTTGGGAGGAACTGAGTCCCCATTCGGTGCTCATCAGGTGATGAGCACCAATGCTCATCACCTGATGAGCAATCTGGACCGTCTAGATTAGATCTGAACGGTCTAGATTTAATATTATTAAATAATTATTTTAAAATAGAAAAAATTATATTTTTAAATAATGATATTAAGATATTATTTTTATTTTTTATCCTATACCTATTAAAATAATTATTTTTATAAAAATAAAAATAAAAATAAATCTGAGACTCATCAAAACTGATGAGCACCCAATGTAAATCTCGGAGTAACTAGTTCCTCCTACTAAACCTAAATCTAATAGTATTTGGTGGTAATAAAGTTGAAACTTCAAACGAAGGTTGTGAGGGCGTGGGGGAACCAAAAGAGGAATATGTGGATCTTGAGGAGCAAGGCGCAAGGGAAAATGCAAAGCACGCCGGCAAGTGGGCCCCAGGAGAGCGCCCAAGTTGTGAGAGTGATATTATACATTGGAGGGTAATTAATTGGCCAAGTGGCAAAACCTTCAAGAAGCACCCCAATGTCTTGGTCTCCTGCATAATGAGGATTGTGAATTGGGTTGTTTCATGCTTTGTCGGTATTGTGTTGTTCATATTTGGCTTTTGTCATTTTTCTCTTCCTCTTGAATTTCTTTGTTTATGTTTTTTTTTCTTGTTATACCTCAGTATATTCCTAAATTACATTGAATTTCAAACTAATATTTATCGAGTTAAGAATGATCAAGTTAAAATCCTCCTAATAAATATACTTTTCAGAATTTGAAATTATGTTTTACTCCCTACGAAAATAAGACTACTTATTATCTTAACTAATGGCTTATTAGGCTCTTTGTATATGTCTTGTTACTCTCTTTTTTTCCCCTTAAGCAAGGTTATATGATACTGTCACAATCGCTGCAGTTGTCCCATTAATATGAAATGGTTAATTTAGGAGACACAATGCTTGATTGTTCTGTTTTTTAGGCATAAAATCAGAACAGATATACGTAAGGGGATATATGGAAAGTGAAAACGACAATAGAAGGGATGTGAAGGACTCTTTTCTTTTCTTTTTTCTTTTTCTTTTTTAAAAGACCATAGGATTTGAAGGACTTAAAATGTTTTGTTACGAAGATTATTTGCAAGCTCACATTTGTTATGGCCTACTTTATAAAATACTACTTCCAATCCTTAATATAAAAACTAGTTTGATATTCAATTTACTTCTAAATATAAAAAATCTTAATCCACTTTATCTCTCATATTTATTCATTTTTTTAAAGTAGTTTTTGTGGTAGTTACACATATTAAAAGTTTCATCAAATAATAGTTCTAGCTAATACATATGATTAGCAATAGTATTCTAAGAAATTATCTATTTATTACAAATAACTAATTTAATAAATTTGTTTGATCTGATAAAATTAGTTAATTAATTCTTATATTAAGAATAAAAGAAAATGGCTCTGTTTGGCATCGCGTTCTGAGCTAGAAAAAGCTACTTTTCACCCCATAAGCACGATTGGAAACACATGGTCATGTTTGGATAGGCTTTTGGCTTATTTGACCTATGGCCAGAAGCTTTTTGGTTTTGTTTTTTTTGGGGGGGGGGGGGGGGGAGCAGCAAGAAGCACGATTAGATAAGTAGGATACGCGGTGCTTATGAATTTTCAATCGTACTTAGGGTGGTAGGTGGAGACTGTTAATTGCAGGGCTGCCAAAATTCTCCTCTCTTCTTCCCTCGTTTTTTGCGTCACGTGCTGTTGAGTTGAGGAAGAAGTGAGCTCCATCTCATCGAGCGTCCTCC